TCTCATGCCGTAATTGCTTGGGCAACGACGATATGACGATTGCAGGGAAGACTGAGTCCAAGGTTGTTTAACATTCTTAAGGGGATCAAGATCTGGCGATTTGGGTGGATGTGTCAGCGTAATCTCGGGATGTGCCGAAATCACGCCTTCACGACACTGCTCTGTGGTTGGGGCTGTTATCCTTGATAAGGTAAAGAGGCTCCAACTCGGGGAGCACCATGGCCCTCACCAATGGTAGAAACATTTCGTCCAGGATTTCCACATAGGCATACCCCGTAAATATGCCGGACCCGACATCCGTCACTTCCGCGGCGGTTTCTGATAGTCTGCGTGCTGCAACGTAATGCAAAGTCCCGCTGGATGTTATCAGCAGAACAAAAGGGATCTGTATCCTTTACAGTACGTAGGGATTATCAAAAATATATATATATGGAAATTAAAAACTAAGAAGAAAATGACTCACGTTCAGGGGACCTTGCGACTAGCTACCTAACACACCCTCTCTCTCTAACCCAGTTAATTGTAAGGGATGTTGCCACTGAGTATCAGAGGTTTTTTTTTTTTATTAGCTCATGAATGCAAGCCTCGTATTTGTCTTTCATGTAGCACGTTTTTTTTTTTTTTGAATGACATTTCTTAATCTCCCTCCGTCGTGCATCTGTAGCACCCATTTCTGGCCTGGTCTCTAGTGGATTCAGTTGCTGTCGCTGGATCCACAAAGACACACTTGGCTTCGAAGTACCTAATCTTCTTGATATTTCGGCTCTTGGTAGTCCCTCTGATTAAAGAGCAATCATGACGCTACAAATGGTCTATGAGGTCTCCAATGCGAATGCTGGCGAACACTATTCGAACATCTTATAAAGCTTCATCTGTACCAACATAACCAAATCAAATGCGATTGTTTCGCTTTCTTCTACTCCCAAGTAAAGATACTTTTAGCGAGTGTGTATGTGTGTGTACATAGTATATATATGTACATATAAATGCACACACACACACACACACACACACACACACACACACACACACACACAACACACATATACATATACATATATATAATGTATATACATGTATATGTATATATACACACAGACACATATATATGCATTTATGTACATGTATATGTGTGTGTGTGTGTGTGTGTGTGTGTGTGTGTGTGTGTGTGTGTGTGCATATATATATATATATATATATATATATATATATATATATGTATATATATATATATATATATATATATATATTTTTTTTATGAATATAAATCTAAATGTGAATGGATTAATAAATATATAGATAAATGAATAAATAAATAAATAAATATATATATATATATATATATATATATGGTATATGTTTATGTATATACATTATGTTAATGTATATATATATATATATATATATATATATATATATATATATATATATATTTATATATATATATTGCGTGTGTAATAGGTAGATAGATAGATAAAGATAGAGGAAGAGATAGAAGTAGACAAGAAATAGTCATATATGTGAATATATATATAGAGATAGATACATATAGATAGATAGATAGACAGACAGATAGACGGAGAGAGAGAGAGAGAGAGAGAGAGAGAGAGAGAGAGAGAGAGAGAGAGAGAGAGAAACAGACAGAGAGAGAGGAATGGAAAGATAGATTGATAGATAGATAGTAACAGAGAGAGAATGGGGGAGAGGAGGGAGATAGAGAAAAAAAAGAGATAAATAGAGAAAGAAAAAGGACAGAGAAACAAAAAAAGAAAGCTAGACAGACAGACGGAGTGAGAATCCTGAATCTTACAAACAGAAAAACAAAAAACAAAAAACAAAAAACGCATAAACGGCTCTTAATCCTCAAACCTCCTGTTTCTTTTCAGACCTCTGCCATCTGTTCCTTCTCGCTGGGTATTCAGACTCTCACGTCTGGCGCAGTTGTGATCGGGATCGTAGGCAACTTTACTGTACCTCTCGTTGTCGGCTGCATTCTGGTTGTGCTCGGCGGTGAGTGCTTGCGTTGATTCCAGGGACTATTCGAACAGTAAGTCTTATTCGCACAATGTGGATGGATACTATTCGCACAGTTGAATGGGTTACTATTCGAACAATATCGGTGGTAACTATTCCCAATGTGTTGATGAGTACTATTCCTACAGCGTGGATGATTACTATTCTCACGGTGTGGATGGTTACTATTCGCACTGTCTTGATGGGTACTATTCACACACTGTGGCTGGTTACTATTCACACGGTGTGGATAGTTACTATATACAGTTACTATTTGCACAGTGTGAATAGTTACTATTTGCTCAGTGTGGACGGTTACTATTCGCACACTGTCGATGGTTACTGTTCGCACTGTCTGGATGGGTACTATTCGCACAGTGTCGATGATTTCTACTTGTATTTTTGGAATGGGCGATGAGCTCTGATTTGCAGGATCACATTTACCTTGCGATGGGTATCTCTCTCTCTCTGATCTTATGATTTCATTTTTATAAGGAGTAAAGAGATTTGCACTTACCTTCTGTTAGTCCATATTAAACCTATGCAATCCCTGTTCATCTAACTTTCGCGCGGTATTACAACCCAATAGCTCGTTACTAGCCCTAATAGCTGATTCTTCTGCGATGCGCTGTTATCATTTCTGTCTCATTTTTAATTCTTCCCATTATCTTTTTATTCATCTTAATTTCTCGTATCATCTCGTATCGTTGCCTTTCTTCTGCTTTTGCCTTCCGATCGTCTTTTGTTACCTTTTTATGATCGGTTTTTCCATCGTCAACTAAGTTCTGTAGAATATATTATCTGGATTAAGATACAAATTTCTCCTCTTTCTTCTATGAATATGTTTGGCATCCAGATAACCTCGTTTTCATGAAGATTAGTATGTTATCTAAAATGACAGTACAATGAATGCTTATATACGAACAATCAGCCACACGCACAAACACAAAAGTATATATCGCTACCTCATTGCAAGAGGGTCGTAACTCCAAATTCCTGATTTTTTAGGAGACGCATTTGAAAATTGCTAAGTCCTATGAATTTGATCATGTTTCTCAAAACAACAAAACTTACCATCTTTATATTCACCTAATAAAGATGGTAAGTTTTGTTGTTTTGTGAAACATGATCAAATTCATAGGACTTAGCAATTTTCAAATGCGTCTCCTAAAAAATCAGGAATTTGGAGTTACGACCCTCTTGCAATGAGGTAGCGATATGTCTATATTTGAATGTAAGTAAACAAAACATTGATAGCATTCTATGATGATATACTATAATTATATCATTAAATTCCTTGCATATGGGAATTTCAATGACCAAAAAAAAATTCCCGCTAAGATTTGTTGACCGGTAGCCATGTGGCAAAAAGACTTACATGAATAAATTATATTCAAGAAACATTTAATTTACATTTATTGAAAAAAATACTTTTGATTTCGGTATTATTATCTTTTTCTTTTTTTTTTTAGTATTGATAATCATGGGCGGTATAATCGCCTTCAGGAAGTACTCGAACTTCAGGAAGAGACAGGAAAAGGAAATGGTGGCCAAGGTCGAACAGTTAGCCATGGGAGACGGAACCATAGAAGCCATGTT